CGAAACAAGAACAGTAAAACAAAAAAACAATTTACGACAGAAAACAAAAAGAATTTAAAAAAAAAACGATTGACATTGCATTTAAATTGGTTAAGATTAAAGTTGACTGGGAAAAAAGAAGCTGAAAAAAGAAAAAAAAAACACTATTTACGACAGAAAACAATAAAAGAATTTAAAAAAAACGATTGACATTGCATTTAAATTGGTTAAAATTAAAGTTGATCAAAAAAAAGAAGCAGTAAAACAAAAAAAAACACTATTTACGACAGAAAACAATAAAAGAATTTAAAAAAAAACGATTGACATTGCATTTAAATTGGTTAAGATTAAAGTTGGATGGGAAACAAGAAAGTAAAACAAAAAAACACTATTTACGACAGAAAACAATAAAAGAATTTAAAAAAAAAACGATTGACATTGCATTTAAATTGGTTAAGATTAAAGTTGACTGAAAAAAGATTAAAGAAAAGAAAAGTAAAAAAAAAAAACACTATTTACGTCAGAAAAAAATAAAAGAATTTAAAAAAAAACGAAAAAATTAAAGTTGTTTTAAAAAAGAAAAAACGATTTACGACAAAAAAAAAAAAGAATTTGAAAAAAAAATTTGAAAAATTGGTTAAGATTAAAGTTGAAAAAGAAGCAGTAAAACAAAAAAAAAAGATTTACGACAGAAAAAATAAAAAATTTAAAAAAAAACGAAAAAAAACTAAAAAAGATTAAATTTGAATGAAAAAAGTAAAACAAAAAAAAAGAATTTAAAAAGAAAACAATAAAAATTTAAAAAAAAAAACGATTGAATTGCAATTTAAAAGAGAAAGATTAAAGTTGACTGGGAAACAAGAAAGAAAAAAAAAAACAAGATTTACGACAGAAAAAATAAAAGAATTTAAAAAAAAACGATTGATTGACAAAAAGATTAAATTGGAAAAGAAGAAGTTGACGACAAAAATAAAAGAATTTAAAAAAAAAGATTGAGAAAGTAAAAGAAAAAAAAAGTAAAACAAAAAAAAACTATTTACGACAGAAAACAATAAAAGAATTTAAAAAAAAACGATTGACATTGCATTTAAATTGGTTAAGATTAAAGTTGACTGAAAAACAAGAAGCAGTAAAACAAAAAAACACTATTTACGACAGAAAACAATAAAAAGAATTTAAAAAAAAAAAACGATTGACATTGCATTTAAATTGGTTAAGATTAAAGTTGAAGAAAGTAAAACAAAAAAAAAAGATTTAGCAAAAAAACAATAAAAAAAAGAAAAAAACGATTGACATTGAAAGAAATTGGTTAAATAAAAAAACAATAAAACAAAAAACAATTTACGACAAAAAAAAAAAAAATTTAAAAAAAAAACGATTGACATTGCATTTAAATTGGTTAAGATTAAAGTTGACTGAAAAACAAGAAGAAAAAAAAAAAAACTATTTACGACAGAAAACAATAAAAAGAATTTAAAAAAAAAACGATTGACATTGCATTTAAATTGGTTAAGATTAAAGTTGACTGGGAAACAAGAGCAGTAAAACAAAAAAAACACTATTTACGACAGAAAACAATAAAAGAATTTAAAAAAAAAACGATTGACATTGCATTTAAAAAGATTAAAGTTGACTGGGAAACAAGAAAAAAAAAAAAAACACTATTTACGACAGAAAACAATAAAAAGAATTTAAAAAAAAACGATTGACATTGCATTTAAATTGGTTAAGATTAAAAGTTGACTGGGAAAAGAAGCAGCGACATAAAACAAAAAAAACACTATTTACGACAGAAAACAATAAAAAAGAATTTAAAAAAAAACGATTGACATTGCATTTAAATTGGTTAAGATTAAAAGTTGACTGGGGAAACAAAAGCAGTAAAAAAAAAAACACTATTTACGACAGAAAACAATAAAAGAATTTAAAAAAAAAAACGATTGACATTGCATTTAAAATTGGTTAAATTAAAGTTGACAAAAAAAGGGAAACAAGAAGCAGTAAAAAAAAAAACAAAAAGAAAACTAAAAAAAAAAACGATTGACATTGCATTTAAATTGGAAAAAAGTTGAAAAGAATTAAAAAAAAAAAAACACGATTTACGACAAAACAATAAAAGAATTTAAAAAAAAACGATTGACAATTTAAATTGGTTAAGAAAGTTGACTGAAAACAAGAAGCAGTAAAACAAAAAAAAAAAACACTATTTACGACAGAAAACAATAAAAAGAATTTAAAAAAAAACGATTGACATTGCATTTAAATTGGTTAAGATTAAAGTTGACTAAAAAAAGAAGCAGTAAAACAAAAAAAAACACTATTTACGACAGAAAACAATAAAAGAAATTAAAAGAAAAACGATTGACATTGCATTTAAATTGGTTAAATTAAAGTTGACTGGGAAAAAGAAGCAGTAAAAAAAAAAAAAACACTATTTACAAAAACAATAAAAAAATTTAAAGAAAACAATAAAAAGAATTTAAAAGAAAAAAACGATTGACATTGCATTTAAAAATTGAATTGTAAAAATTAAAGATTAAAATTAAAAAAAACAAGAAAGTAAAAGAAAAAAAACACTATTTACGAGAAAAAAAAAAAAAGTTAAATGAAAAAAAAAAAAACGATTGAAAACAATAAAAGAATTTGCGATTGACATGCATTTAAATTGGTTAAGATTAAAGTTGACTGAAAAAAGAAGCAGTAAAAACAAAAAAACTATTTACGACAGAAAACAAAAAAAATTTAAAAAAAAACGATTGACATTGCATTTAAATTGGTTAAGATTAAAGTTGAAGGAAACAAAAAGCAGTAAAACAAAAAAACACTAGAAAAAAATAAAAAATTTAAAAAAAAAAGCGATTGACAAAAGAAAAGATTAAAGTTGACTGGGAAATATAAAACAAAAAAAACACTATTTACGACAGAAAACAAAAAAAGAATTGAAAAGAAAAAAACGATTGACATTGCATTTAAATTGGTTAAGATTAAAGTTGACTGGGGAAAAAAGAAGCAGTAAAACAAAAAAAAACACTATTTAAACAGAAAACAATAAAAGAATTTAAAAAAGAAAAACGATTGACATTGCGATTTTAAACAAAGAGAAAGATTAAATTTGAACTGGGAAAAAAGACATTTTTGTCTGAAAAAAAAAAAAACAAACTATTTAAAGAAAAAATAAAAGAATTAAAAAAAAAACGAATTGCATTTAAATTGAAAAGAAGCACTAAAACAAAAAAATTTACGACAGAAAACAATAAAAGAAATTAAAAAAAAACGATTGACATTGCATTTAAATTGAAAAGAAGAAAAACAATAAAAACAAAGAGAAAGAAAACAATAAAAGAATTTAAAAAAACGATTGACATTGCATTAAATTAAAAAAGAATGCGATACAAAAAAAAAGAAACAAAAAAAAAAAAAACTATTTACGACAGAAAACAAAAAAAGATTTGCGATAAAAACGATTGAATTGCATTGAAATTAAAAAGAATTTTAAAAGAAGCCTGAAAGAAAGAATGCGAGAAAAAAAAAAAGAAAAAAAAGATTTCCAAAAAGAACCTGAAAGAAAAACAAAAAAAGATTTACGACAAAAAAAAACGAATTAAAAAAAACGATTGCATTTAAATTGGTTGAAAAGAAGACTGGGAAACAAACAGTAAAACAAAAAAAAAAAAAGTAAAACAATAAAAGAATTTAAAAAAAAACTGAAAAGAAGAATGTTGATACAAACAAAGTAAAAAAAAAAAGAATTTTAAAAAGAAAACAATTGAAAAAAAGACGATTGATACAAAAAAAGATTAAAGTTGACTGAAAAAAGAACCAGTAAAACAAAGCCTGAAAAGAAGAAAACAATAAAACAAAGAGAAAAAAAACGATTGAAAAGCATTTGAATTGTTGACAAACAAAAAAGTTGACATAAAAAAGAAAAAAAAACAAAGAAAAAAGACAGAAAAAAACAATAAAAAAGAATTTAAAAAAAGCCTGAAAAGAAGAATTGACAATTGCATTGAAAATAAAAGATTAAAGTTGACTGAAAAAAAAGAAGCCAGAAAAAAAAAACACTATTTACGACAGAAAAATAAAAAGAATTTAAAAAAATAACGATTGAAAGATTAAAATTGGATACAAACTAAGTGAAACAAAAAAGAAAAAACAAAAAGAAATAAAGAAAAGAAAAAAACGATTTACAAACAAAGTGAAATAAAAGAATTTAAAAAAGAAAACGATAAAAAAGAAGATTGCGATTTAAATTGAAAGTAAAAGAATTTAAAAAGAAAAAAGTTGACTTGAAAAGAAGAATGATACAAAGAAACTAAAAAAAAAACTATTTAAAAAGAAAACAAAAAAAGAATGCGAAAAAAACATTGACATTGTAAAAGACTGGGAATCTAAAAAACAAAAAAAAAAAAGACAGAAAAGAAAAAAAAAAGAATTTAAAACAAAAACGATTGAAATTGCATTTAAAAAGAATTGACTAAAAAGAACTGAAAAAAAAGATTTGCGATAGAAAACAATAAAAGAATTTAAAAAAAACGATTGTTAAATAAAAGAAGCCTGAAAAGAACAAAAAATGATACAAAACGAAAGAAAAAATTAAAAGAATTTAAAAAAAAAACGATTGACATTGCATTTTAAAAGAATTAAAAAAAAAAGAGAAAGAAAACAATAAAAGAATCAAAAAAAAAAAGATTGACATTAAAAAAATTGGCCTGAAAAAAGTTGACTACAAACAAAGAAAAAGTAAAAAAAAAAAAAAAAGATTTACGACTGAAAAGAATAAAATGCGATTTAAAAAAAATTGAAATTGCAAAAAAATTGGTTAAAAAGTTGACTGAAAAAGAAGAATGCGAGTAAAACAAAAAAAACAATTTACGAAGTAAAGTTAAAAAAGAAGCCTGAAAAGAAGAATTGCGATACAAACAAAGAGAAACAAAAAGAAGTAAAACAAAAAAAAAAGAAGCCTGAAAACAAAGAATGCGAAACAAAAAAATTGAAATTAAAATTGGAATTAAAAAAGAAGCCTAAAACAAAAAAAAGAAGAATGACGAATAAAAAAAAACAAATTGAAAGTTAAAAGAAGTCAAAAAGAAGCCAAAAAAAAAGAATGCGATAAAAAAAAATAAAAGAGAAAAAAAAAGAATTCTGAAAAAAAGAAAAAAGAAGCCTGAAAAGAAGAATGCGAAAAAAAACAAATGAAAGTAAAAGAAGTCTAAAAAAAAAGCCTGAAAAAAAGAATGCGATACAAACAAAGAGAAAGTAAAAGTCTAAAAAAAAAGAAGCCCAAAAAGAAGTAAATGCCTAAAACAAACTGAAAAGAAGAAAGTAAAACAAAGAAAGCAAAAAATTCTAAAAAGAAGCCTGAAAAGAAGAATGCGATACAAACAAAGAGAAAGTAAAAGAATTCTAAAAAGAAGCCTGAAAAGAAGAATGCGATACAAACAAAGAGAAAGTAAAAGAAGTCTAAAAAGAAGCCTGAAAAGAAGAATGCGATACAAACAAAGAGAAAGTAAAAGAATTCTAAAAAGAAGCCTGAAAAGAAGAATGCGATACAAACTAAGTGAAAGTAAAAGAAGTCTAAAAAGAAGCCTGAAAAGAAGAATGCGATACAAACAAAGAGAAAGTAAAAGAATTCTAAAAAGAAGCCTGAAAAGAAGAATGCGATACAAACAAAGAGAAAGTAAAAGAATTCTAAAAAGAAGCCTGAAAAGAAGAATGCGATACAAACAAAGTGAAAGTAAAAGAATTCTAAAAAGAAGCCTGAAAAGAAGAATGCGATACAAACTAAGAAATGAAAAAGAAGCTAAAAAGAAGTCTGAAAGAAGAAAGATACAAAAAGAGTAAAAGTCTCTAAAAAGAAGCCTGAAAAGAAGAATGCGATACAAACAAAGAGAAAGTAAAGAAGTCTAAAAAGAAGCCTGAAAAGAAGAATGCGATACAAACAAAGAGAAAGTAAAAGAAGTCTAAAAAGAAGCCTGAAAAAAGAATGCGATACAAACAAAGAGAAAGTAAAAAATTCTAAAAAAGAAGCCTGAAAAAAGAAGCCTGAGTCAAAAAAGAAGAATGAAAAGAAGAAACAAAAAGTGAAAGTAAAAGAAGTCTAAAAAGAAGCCTGAAAAGAAGAATGCGATACAAACAAAGTGAAAGTAAAAGAAGTCTAAAAAGAAGCCTGAAAAGAAGAATGCGATACAAACAAAGAGAAAGTAAAAGAAGTCTAAAAAGAAGCCTGAAAAGAAGAATGCGATACAAACTAAAAGAAAGTAAAAAAGTAAAAAGATTCTGAAAAAAGAAGCAAACTGAAAAGTAAAAGAATGCGATACAAACAAAATGATACAAAAAGTAAAAGAATTCTAAAAAGAAGCCTGAAAAGAAGAATGCGATACAAACAAAGAGAAAGTAAAAGAATTCTAAAAAGAAGCCTGAAAAGAAGAATGCGATACAAACAAAGAGAAAGTAAAAGAATTCTAAAAAGAAGCCTGAAAAGAAGAATGCGATACAAACAAAGAGAAAGTAAAAGAAGTCTAAAAAGAAGCCTGAAAAAAGAATGCGATACAAACTAAGTGAAAGTAAAAGAATTCTAAAAAGAAGCCTGAAAAGAAGAATGCGATACAAACAAAGAGAAAGTAAAAGAATTCTAAAAAGAAGCCTGAAAAGAAGAATACAAACAACAAACAAAGTAAAAGAAAGCCTGAAAAAAGAAGTCTAAAAAAGTAAAAGCCTGAAAAGAAAAGAAGAATGCGATACAAACAAAGTGAAAGTAAAAAGAAGTCTAAAAAGAAGCCTGAAAAGAAGAATGCGATACAAACAAAAGAAAGTAAAAAAGAATTCTAAAAAAGCCTGAAAAGAAGAATGCGATACAAAAAAGAAGCTAAAAAAGAAAAAAGAAGAACAAAAAAAAAGAGAGTAAAAGAAGTCAAAAAAAGCTTGATACAAACAAAAGAAGAATGCGATACAAACAATCAAGAAAGTAAAAGAAGTAAAAGAAAAAAGAAGCCTGAAAAGAAGAATGCGATACAAAAAAAAAAGAAAGAAAAAAGAAGTCTAAAAAGAAGCCTAAAAAAAGAAGAATGCGAAACAAAGAAGAAGAAAACAAAAAAAGAAAGTAAAAAAGCCTGAAATGAAGAATGCGATACAAACAAAGAGAAAGTAAAAGAAGCCTCTAAAAGAAGCCTGAAAAGAAGAATGCGATACAAACAAAAAGAAAGAAAGTAAAAAGAAGTCTGAAAAAAGAATGCGATACAAAAAAGAAGAAAGCGATAAAAAAAAAGCCTGAAAAAAAGAAAGTAAAAAAAGTTTCTAAAAAAGTCTAAAAGAAGCCTGAAAAGAAGAAAGAAAGTAAAATCTAAAAAAGAAGCCTGAAAAGAAGAATGCGATACAAACTAAGTGAAAGTAAAAGAAGTCTAAAAAGAAGCCTGAAAAGAAGAATGCGATACAAACAAAGAGAAAGTAAAAGAAGTCTAAAAAGAAGCCTGAAAAGAAGAATGCGATACAAACAAAGAGAAAGTAAAAGAATTCAAAAAAAAAGAAGAATGCGAAAAGAAGAAGAAGCCTGAAAAGAAGAATACAAACTAAGTGAAAGTAAAAAGAAGTCTAAAAAGAAGCCTGAAAAGAAGAATGCGATACAAACAAAGAGAAAGTAAAAGAAGTCTAAAAAGAAGCCTGAAAAGAAGAATGCGATACAAACAAAATAAAAGAAGTCTAAAATGAATAATTTGACACAAACAAAGAAGAAAATGAAAGAGGTTTAAAAAGATGAATGTGATAAAAATACAGAAGAAATTAAAAGTTTTCTAAAACGAGGAATATGATACAAACAAAGAAGTGAATGTAAAAGAAGTTTAAATAGGATTAAGCGGCTTAAAAAACGAAGAACACAAATTGAGTCTCAATAGAAGGTTACACATACAAAGATGAAGTAATTAAAATAAATTGAAGTTGAAGGAGCCGACAGAAATAAAGCAGAATATCGTAAATGATTTCTAAAATTATAAGATAAAGAAAATCAAAGAATAATGGAAAAGTAGTTAACGACAAAGAAAGCAACAGAAACCAAGTAGACGAATATGAACGAAATCAAAGGAAAATTCAACAGGACAGAAAAAATCCCAGATGAAATAATTAAAAGAAGAAATGTATAAAAAACGTCAACGAAGAAGAAAGAATGTCTAAAATGAATAAAGTGGAACAAACACGAAAGAATATAAAATAAATTTTTAGATGAAGAAGGGGACAGAAATAAAGAAGGGGACAGAAATAAAGAAAGGGACAGAAATAAAGAAGGGGACAGAATTAAAGAAGGGGTCATAAATAAAGAAAGGGACAGAATTAAAGAAGGGGACAGAATTAAAGAAGGAGATAAAATTAAAGAAGGGGACAGAAATAAAGAAGGGTACAGAAATAAAGAAGGGGACAGAAATAAAGAAGGGGACAAAATTAAAGAAGGGGACAGAATTAAAGAAGGGGACAGATATAAAGAAGAAGACAAAATTAAAGAAGGGGACAGAAATAAAGAAGGGGACAGAATTAAAGAAGGGGACAGAATTAAAGAAGGGGACAGAAATAAAGAAGGGGGCAGAATTAAGAGAAGGGGACAGAATTGAAGAAGGGGACAGAAATAAAGAAGGGGACAGAATTAAAGAAGGGGACATAAATAAAGAAAGGGACTGAATTAAAGAAGGGTACAGAAACAAAGAAGGGGACAGAAATAAAGAAGGGGACAAAATTAAAGAAGGGGACAGAATTAAAGAAGGGGACAGATATAAAGAAGACAAAATTAAAGAAGGGGACAGAAATAAAGAAGGGGACAGAATTAAAGAAGGTGACAGAAATAAAGAAGGGGACAGAATTAAAGAAGGTGACAGAAATAAAGAAGGGGACAGAATTAAAGAAGGGGACAGAAATAAAGAAGGGGGCAGAATTAAGAGAAGGGTACAGAATTGAAGAAGGGGACAGAAATAAAGAAGGGTACAGAAATAAAGAAGGTGACAGAATTAAGAGAAGCTGTAGATGAAAGCAACAGAACCAAAAAAGTTAAAAATACGTAAAAATGAAGGTGACGACAAATTCAAAGCTGTAGTATACGTAAGGAATGAAAGATGAAGGTTACAGAAAGAATACTTGAGAAGGTAAAAGAATGGAGATTAAAAGATGTCAAAAAAAGGAAAAGATGAAAATAAGAAATGAGAAAGAAGATATACAAACAATTTTGTGATATTTCCTTAAACGATGAACAATTCAAAAGCGTTGTAGAATGTAGAATCTAACTTCTACATTTCAGTGGATCACACCTAAGTTTCCATAATGCTGTCATTAAACAACTTCCTGATTGGACAAAGATGAAAATTGCATTTTGTTTTTCTTCACGTTCAAAGTTCTAAAATCTTCCACAGCTAAACACATATAGGCTCTAAACCAAGTTTTTTTCAGCAACTGACATATTCTGATTGGCCAAATAAGGCCAAGGTCATGTTTCCGCCTACGCACGACCTGTTAAAATAAAAAAAATGTACCAAAAAAATGAAAACGTGTTCCCGAGCCTATCACAAGTAAACAAATATGATACACAAGCACATTGCCGCTAGTGAGCAAGTGACCAGCTATCAATCGCCTCCTGGATTCACATCACGTAATTTTCAGGTTTAATGTTACTTCTAAACATAATCCCAGCCTGAACTGACTCACTAACTCGTACACTGATCCTTATTCATTCTCGCTAGTGGCATCATGAAACTTTATCAATACCAACGCTTGATAACGAAACTAAATTAAAATATTTAAAGTTAACATCAACGTTTCAAGATCATCTTCAAAACAAAGGATTACGATCAAAAAGAGATAACTTCTGAATGAACTGTGAACGGGAAACTAAATTCCATTTAAAATTCAGCTCTCAAGAAACTGTTTAATTTTAACATACACTTATAAATATTCTCTCAAATTGCACAAATTGTTATCCAACAATTTATTCAACACACATTCTTTCCGCAAAACCTTAATTACTATTTCAAACTAGGAAAGGACGTTGAACTAAATTTAAACTTCTACGTGACACAAAAGCAAAACATTTGTACACAAATTTAAATGAAAAAAAAAAACAATTTCAATACAAAACATCAACACAATTTGTATCAATTTAGTCACTGATAAAAGAAAAATCTATTTTTTTAATGCGTTGATTTGTCGAATTTGTTATTTCTCTTGTTTATTGTTTCTTTACTCATTTGTTGACAGCAAAAATAGAAGGGACTGAATTGAGGCCATTCGATCCCATCAAAGAAGAAGAAAGAGTTATGAAGGAAAATATAGCTGGATATAAAATTAATGGCAGAAAATGAGCTGTAGCCTCTTAGGAGGATGGAAAAGTATAGAATCCAAATGAAAAAAGAAGGAATAGAAGACAAAAATCCGAAGAGGACAATGATCGAGTGCATTAAAGCAAATATAAGATTAAAATGCAAGCGTGACGAAAAAAAAGTCATTACATATTATTCTTCGCTGATCCGAGACTAAAGAATCTGATCTTGTCCCATTCTATCCAAATTATTTGCAGTATTCTCTATTTTTTACTAAAGCTCATAAAAGATATTATGCGTGAGTAGATACGAAATCGTGTTGAAAAAATATCAGACCTACCCACTTCTCAAATCAGAGCAAATAAAGAAAGATAAGAGGCAGTTTTGACAGACCTTGATCATGCTGATAGCTTTCCAGCGCCATGTTCTAACGTATTTGTCTTTGAAAAGAGAGAATGGTAATGAGATAAAAGAGAAATATAAAAGAATCAAAACCACAAAAATATTGTTTCAAAAGAAAATAAAAAGGGCATATTTTTTAAGTGACATCAGTGGAAGGTCAGGAATGAGATTTTATCTCATTATATTATTTGATTTTTTTTTTCTAATGGGATATTTATTTTTTGTTTTTGCTTTTGTTATTCTAGATCAGATATATATAAGACTGGGAATGGTGAATTTCATCTGAAAATGTATTTTCGCACCTCCTCCAAACTGCCGGACATTTATTCGTACGACTAAAAATAATTGTTCTTATAAGTGAGAAGAACATTGTAATGTCGGCGATATCATTGTTCGCAACTGATCACTGATTTGTTGCTCTTTATTCCATATTGTAGCGATAACATTCCTTTTCTCTGTGTTTCCGCCATGTTGAATCTTTTGAGATTTGTAAGCGGCGTTATTATCTCTGGCTGGTTCTTTCTTTTTCTGCACTTGGTCAGTTCAACATAGAATTCAGTAAATTGATAAATAAAGCAAAGCAAAAAAAAAAAAAAAAAACGAAGCAAAAACACAAACTGAATCTTTCAGTTGATTCCTGAGAAACAAATGACATTTATTAATCTGATACGAGTTTAAATATAAATGTCCACAAGTCATTTTCTGTTTTCTTCTCTTTTCAAGCTGATAGCATTTTTTTCTAGTGACAGTACTACTTTTTTCTTTCATTATATAAGTTAAATAACAATTTTCAGCGGATTTATTCTATAAAAGGATTGGGTGCAGCTTGATTTCTTTTGTGCAGTGTTGGGAGATGGTCAGTCAATTGGGAAGAAAGTGACATGCGTGACCCGAATATTTTCGCTTATTAAGTGCGGTGATTTTGATCGGGACTTATCTTCTAACACCAGATAGACAAATTAATATTTTTTTATTTTATTTCTAAGGCGACAGTTACGGAGCATATCTTTGAAACGATCCATATCTGGAATAGTTCAAAGAAGCCATAAAAAAGATACCTGCGTAGAGGGAGCTGAAAGTATCTCAATGCTGAAAGTATCTCAACCCGACCTACACCTAAAAAAAATCTGAGCAAATAGCTAAATATCAGATTTGATTTGTGGATGGGATTCCTGGTCGGGTTGAAAAATTTTCAACACCTACTCGTTTCATATTTCGTATAAACCTAAATTCATGATATTGAAGAATATTTACCTTTTAGAGACCGATTTTTGGCATCCTTGTATTTTTACGAATTCTAATAATGCTAATAAGCAACAGTAACAAAACAAATCATTCATATTAAAAAAATTATTATTCATTGGTGTTATAATTTCATATCAATAATATTGGTTTAGAGTCTGTCTATACTTCTGAGATGAGGTATTATGTACATTATTTAGATTATTCGGACTATTGTCCTCATCTTGGTCGACATATTTATCACAATGTTTCGGCCGTTGTATACTCCGGCCTTCTTTAGGTGGTTGGAATTTCGAACTGAACCCTTTATTTCGCTCACTGGGGTAGACTGTTCTAGTTCTACGTGCCTTGTTTGATGGATGTCAGTTATCAGTTATCTCCTGCTAATTTCCCTCTGAAATCAAGGACACATGGCACAGTGGATAAAGGTGTTGGTTAGATCCAGTGACAGGACCCAAAGAGTGTGAGTTTAATACCCGGTTAAGGCAGTGAGAACTTTCAAAGGGAAATTAGCAGGAGATAACTGATAACTGGCATCCATCAAACATGGTACGTGGAACTAGAACAGTCTACCCCAGTGAGCGAAATAAAGGATTCAGTTCGAAATTCCAACCATCTGAAGACGGCTGAAATGATGTGATAAATATGGTGACCAAGATGAGGACAATAGTCCGAATAATGTAAATAATGTAATATTGGTTTAATAAGAAAAACAATCTCATGCCTTATAAAATACAAAAAATTGTACTCACAGGTGTAGCTCACACATTATGAAGAGAAGTATGTAAAATGTCTGTGATTATAGAGTTTAGTTTGGTGGTGAGCGGTTATAGAAATGATCAGTGGAAGATGTCATGAAGCAATTTCTGAAGTTAGGTCTCTGGTTGGGATCCGGAAAGAAATGTGTATACAACAGAAACTCAAGGAAATAATAATAATAATAATAATAATAATAATTTGAAGCTGACTGTCGGATGCTTGGTCTGTCAAGGTGCACCTTGTTACTCCACCCCGCCTGACATTGTCCTATTCCGCTGGTATGGCCGTTGAGATCGTGTAGATCTTTCCCAATTCCGCGTTCGCGTTCAGTCTGGTCTCTCCTCTTCGGTCATTGGACACTCTACAAGAATTGGGACTCCAAACAGCTCTAAGGGTCACTCGGTTCTGCAAGCCCTCTATTATGACAAGGGACGACAATATATATTTTACATTAGATGTCGAAGTGAACAGTTCTTTATCATATATACTACTTTGAATTATTATTTTACTTAAATAAACCTATATATATATATATATATATATATATATATATATATATATATATATATATATATTAAATTAATTGATTTAATATATGTTTTTTCCGCTACACAGTTCTAACCATGTTTCATTTTTGAGAGACAAGTTTCTTTTCCTGGGATTAATGGGCCATGGCACACAAGCGAGCATTTGAGGCCCTGGATAAAACACTCAAAGACATTAGACAGAATTCAAAAATCATGTGAGATATCACAGTGCTTTTAGACAAACATTATCAGACCTTGCAAGAGGAATTCCAGCTGATGAAATTAATAGTTGCCTGAAAATTATTACATCTGGAGCCATGTTCAAATACACAGTCTGAAAGCAAACATGAGGATTAGAATCACGGGTGACCTTGAAACATTGCTGCTTTGCTGTTGTAGCCTGGCAATGGAACCATCAAAATAGACCCAAAATAAAAATGGAAATATTTCACTCTCAAATGGTTATGGAGTTTCACTCACAAGTACCCAAGACTTGATTAAAAATGTTTATCCAAATATTAAACACCATTCCATGGATACAAACTGGCTTTGTGAGAGGACCATAATGTATTTATAATTTTTTCATTTTCAAAAAGTCACATATGTCCATGTGAACTATATTACTGAATGATGTTTTTTTTTGTTTTTTTTTTATTAATAAAGTCTTCCACTATTTTTAAGGATTCTTTTTGCATTGAGATGATGCTATTATATTTTAATTGTTAAAAGTATGTTAAATAGGGTCCATGAGTATATAAATTAGACTTAATTGAACTATGGTCTGAAAGGTTTGTGAGTCCTTGTCAATCATGTTGTAGTATAGCCGATGTAATTATTTACGATCAATCAAAATTTGTTTTCGTATAATTTATCATCGAAAAGAAAAAAAATATTAAATAACATGAGGATTGAAAACTAAATCAAAAGCACCTTTATATATATATATATATTTATATATATATATATATATATATATAATTTGGTACCGGATCCACCTATTTTACATAGAGATTACCGACCATATTAGCCAGGGGGAGGAAGAATCAACCAGAGACTCTTTATTCAAACCGATTCTACAGGAACAGTCTTCCCAAAAAAAACAAAACTATATGTAAAATTGTGTTTTTCTTGTTTCAATACATTTGTTTAAGTACATTTTGTGTTGTATTATTATTATTCCATGCTTTATTCAAGTTTCAACAATAAAGGTATTTTGATTTATATATATGTTATATATTATATATATATATATATATATATATATATATATATATGTTATCAAAACAAAATCAAATCTATATATATATATATATATATATATATATATATATTATATATACCTTATATATATATATATATATATATATATATATATATATATTTATATTTTATATAAGGTATTTTGATTTTATTTTGAATCCTCATTGTTATCTAATATATTGATATATATATATATATATATATATATATATATATATATATATATATATATATATATATATATTTATTAGATAACAAAACAATTCAAACTGTTTAAAATATATATATATATATATATATATATATATATATATATATCGATTTAGTTTTGAATCCTCATGTTAACTAATTTTTTTTCGCATGATAAATTATATAAAACAAAATATATAAATATATGTGCATATATATATATATATATATATATATATATATATAATTTTAATTTATGAATGTCTAATCATTAAATGGCTGCTATATTTCTAGAGGATATCATCATTGCATTCACTTATTTCTGTTCAAATTGTATTTTATACGTGTAAAGCTCTCTGTACATGTTTCTGTATTCAACACATACTGAGATTTGGTTTAAACAAGAAAGGAATTAGATTGGAAAAGCCTGCCGGTGTTAACATCTGTTAACGTTCTTCGCATTCAGGTACCCGATTTAAACAGTAACGGCGCGAATTAATGACGCCGCCCACTCGCCAAGAGAGTGTAGGGACACCTTAGTATATCGAAATATTTGTGACCATCTTCCTGAAATTTTAACAAGCATTCAAGTGCTGCGCCTGCAGGACACTGAAACCAATCTTCGTGATATTACGTGTCGCCAGTTGATTAGTTTTCGAAACGATACAGTTTCCGTTTAGTTATAAGGTAAGTACCGGAAATGGAATTTGAAAAGAAAAAAAATGACAGCCGAAAACTTTCAATTATTTTTCCGTAATTTTTGCTGGCAGGTTAGATTATTGTCAAGAAGACCATACACAAGATTACTATCAAACATTTTAAATATTTATTAGCTAATTTCAATCCGTTTTGGGAAGAGACAGCTGAAAATAGCATTTTCTTCATTCCATATTATAATTTAGTAATTTTAGCATCGAAGAATTCATTCAAACACCTGCGGGAAATGATTCGGTTATTGCATAACGGAGTCTAGGTTATAAACTCTCACGAAAATAGTCTTTTAAATATACGTAGCTTGTGATTATGATTTTTTTGTTAATGATATATTGAAAGTGATTAATAATAATAAAAATAATAATAATTGGTATGTGAAACACCCAGACCCGGTTACGGATATAGGACCTGTTACAATTTAATGAGACTACACAATACACACATACAAAACAATCAAAGCTAACCGCCAAAACATCGATATTAGCGACCGCAAAAAAAAAAAAAATTGCCTCCTTATTGATATATCAGACCCTGCAGACTGCAATGTATATCTCAAGATCTTCAAAAAGATATCAAAATACCTTGAAATCGAAATCTCCCAAATGTGGCACATGGGAACATCAACAATTCCTGTTGTAGTTGGAGCCCTCTGATTGGTTGGAAAAGATTCCAGTATACTCATTGAAGGGATTCCGGGAAGCCCATGCCTTAAAGAAATATAAAACATTGCTCTCACGACTACAGCCCCCACCTTACGAAGGGTTTTATCTATATAAAACATGTGATTTTTTTTTAATTGGTCAGTGCAAAATGTCATAATGCCTTTTCTAACCTTCGGTCTCTGGGTGGGACCCGTAAAGAAATGTGTGCACACAAGAAATCAAAGGAAATAACAACAACAACAACAAAAGCAACAACAACAACAGCAATAATAATAATAATAATATGTAATATGAGACAGCCAGAAATACCAGGGAGTCTTTCTCGATGAAGAGAGATAAAGAAAATACAAGACATAACATCATTTTTACGGCACCAGATCTGCTTGAGATAACGAATAATAATAATAATAATAATAATAATAATAATAATAGTTCTGCTGCTAGGAAAGTTGGTTCACTATGTCATGCTAGACAATTTTACACGCCATAATCTATCTTACATATTTATACGTCTACCATTAGCACAAGCTTTGAATATTGATGCCACAGATAGTCTGGCGCTCTTGCTATATAGAGATTGTTGATAAAATCTAAAGAAGCGACTGCAATGTTATTGATTCTGGCCTGTCATCTTGTTGTCCGTCACTTTCCTACAGCCGCAATGTAGCTTCCTCATGCCTATTTCATAAATACTTTTATGGTCATTGTTCTGTTGAACTTTAATCTGTGGTACGTAAACTTTATAAATTTAATTGCAATACTGGATTGGCGGTAAGGTATCAGCATTTTACTTTTGAAATGGTTAGATGTAATTGTAAGTTCTCCTTTCCGGCTTCTTGCTTCCCAGTCAACTTTGATCTTCAAAAATTAAAATGCAATATTAGTCGTTATCTTCTGTCTGCTTAAATATTGTACATTTATTGCTCTCTATCTCTCCTTAGTAGTATTTTTCTCATATTCTCTTCCACTCAGTAACCCTTTGCGTCTTAGTGGCTTTATTGCCATGCTTGAAGTAAAATGATTAATAATAATAATAATAATAAGAAGAAGAAGAAGAAGAAGAAGAACAACAACAACAACAACAACACTGCTACTATTGTGACAATGGTTAATGGGACACTATTCTGACACTGGTGGTATCAAACGGATTAAAAGGGTACATGGGAAAAACCCGTAAAGGATTCGGAAAATTGGAAGGGTTAAAAGCGTTAAGGTGAAAGCATAAATTGAAATATGGTGCAAGAGAAAAAAATAGAATTTTTTTCATTTGTGACAACCAGAAACGCAGAAAGGAATATTAGATCCAAAAATGATTTGAGGAATGTAAAATTTAATTGTTTGTCAAATGAAAAAAATGGAATTGTTATAAATCGCAAAAGCGAATAATGTAAACAATCTGTAATATGAGATGAGAAATGTAAAATGTGGTTCTGTAAACGTAGGCAAATATTTTAAATCGGTCATATTGAAAAGTCGACAACAAAGAAAATTATTTGACGTCAAGGATATAGGAACGAATTTATAAGCACAATGTTTGTTGTCGAAGTATTTATTGTTATCAATAAATGACTGACCACCAGCCGTTTAATTGAAGGCTAGTATCGTTTCTCCATAATTGGAAAGCTAATGAATCCTGAGGTGTGGTAGAAATCGAGCGAAATACATATATACGTGTGCATATGTGAGCCCAAAACTAGAAGCCAACAGAGGGTACCAGAATCCGGCCCAAGTCAGGAAAATTCAGATAAAAGCCGCGTGATCTGCTACCCAGAGTTTTTTTTTTTTTACCCCGCTCCAAGTTTTAGAAGAGGAAGACAACTTGTCACGATAAAAATTTTAAAGGGAAGGGCTAATTTTGTTGTATCAAGAAATATATAAACCAATTGTAAATTAACCCGGTCACTTTTCGTCGTTATTTTGTTATGTAAATATTTATTTTCCCCAGTGGAAACGTTCTTTGTCCTTTTGTAGTACGATTTTGCCGCGGTTCTACCCACTGCTCGAGTACGGAGGATATTCGATCTTCACTGATCTGTGATTAAGGACGAAATTCGATAGTCACAGCTCTGTTATCAAGGAACACAACGTGGGACAGGAAGCAAATGAAGGAACGGAGCGGTAAGCGGATAACCTTCGGTTGACCGGCGGCAGTACTGAGCAGTGTGGGAAGGACGCAGAATTGGTGACAAGTGACCAGGATAAGGCACTGGCTGTCATAAACAGTCCCGTGGCTAAGATTGCAATCCAGGAAAAGCCAAAAGAAACTTAAAATATCACTCCAAGGATGCAGAACAGCGCGCTCAAATCGAGAAGTGTGAAGAACAAGGTCAATTCGTTGAAGAAGTAGAACCACCGGACGTTAGTCATTTTGACTATGAGTTTCTAAAACTCCACGAACATTTATTGTCAAGTTGGAACGATGATAGGACAAGTCAAATGACAGGTAAGACACTGTTTGGTTTTCAGTGTTTCACTCGTTAGAATTCTTGCACCTTGCTAATAGAAACTTTTTTCTTTTGACTGGATTGTGTCTGTCTTACTTTTTCTGTGATCTATAGATGGAAATGAGGCGAACGAGCCTCAGGTATCAAATTCAGAAACCTGTTAAAAGAACCCAGAGTACCAGTGTATAAAGAGGACCCGTGATCATTAAAGAACTGGTTAACGGCAATAAGGTAAAAAGTGCTCGTCTACGAGCTGTCAGAGATAGAGACAGCACTGTTGGCCTCCGAGTTCGATGGAGGATACCTAGCGATGGGACCCTATTTTAACGTGGATTGATCTAGAGAATCTGCAGATAAAAAACATGCAGATGAGATAACGGAAAGAGAAGTCATGGGGAGCCCCATGAAGCTCACCCAGGTTTAGGACGATACAAGGGAATTGGGAGCAGGTACGACGAAATTATTGACCATAAATTTCCTTGAGGAAGTAAGGGAGAATGCCACCATTCGGGTCCAGTTGTCGGTTTTGTTCGTGGATGCACTGGAAGATGATCTCATCAGGAACGATGTGATTAAGGAGGCCCCAATGAGGTTGTACGTGGCTATAGATCTGGCCAAAAACAGTGAAAATTTATGGGAAGAAGACGAGGAATAGTGGAACGTAGCTTCACGGTTGGAAAGAGTTAGGCAGCTGAAGAAAGAACCTCCCATTGGGAGTAGGACAAAAAACGGACCAGCCGGACAAAATGGGGATTATCCACAAATTTCGATGAGCCAAGCTGTATTAGGCGCGGCCAGATCAAGTGGTGTGAAGCCAGGGAAAAAAAATCATAGCCACCAATTCCCGTCCCAAAACCCGCACTTAGAAGACGGGACAAGAGAAACACTCAGCCCCACCCCAGACACACACAGAAAGTAAAAGTGCGGGTGGTCCATGTAACAAGGTGAAGGATGCGATACTGGGCATTTGACCAGGTCAGCCACTTTGTTGCTAATTGTCCCAGAGGAAGGTCTTCGTTTTGCCGGGAACCAGTCCATCTGAGAAGAAATTGGCCCTTTAAAAACAGAGATAAGAACCCTCTTAAGAGTTGTTCGAGGGCATCGAAAAATAATAGTCGGTCAGGGATGATAAGGGATTATTATTACTGGCACCCATGTTAGAATCCTCGAGAAGACGCTACCCTAAGAGAAGGATGTCTAAAATATTTTCCTTATTGATCCAAGAGGAGGAACTTGCCTAAGACGCAGTGATAAACGAAAAAGTAATGAGGGCCTTGATAGACATGGAGCCGTCTGTATCTCTAACCAGAGAAAATCGCTACAAACTTTTGAGATTGCTTGGTTGGTTGAGAAGACTTGATATCGAAATTAGCCAGACATACGGGAAGACGATGAATACAGCAGGGATCGTAAGACTCCTTGTGAAGATGGGCAGAACGAATAGTGTCTACAAATTGCATGTGACTCCAGATCTCTGTGGAGAGATTATTTGGGTTGAAGTTTGGTTGCACGAGCATAAATTCTAAATAAAGTTTAACCCTGCAGTGTTGATAGTTAATAGTGTGTAGACACCTTTGGTGAGCGACCCTGATAACCCACTGTCAGTAGTGGTTGACACTGACATAAAGCTACCCCCTAGGTAGCGATGTCAGGTAGAGATAGGCTGGAAAATTGGGGAAGGGAATCTTTCAAATAACCCCTGTAGAGAAATATAGCCATAAAGTAGAAAAGTGGCTTTGTGTGAAACAGTGGTGGAAGCAGCAAAGATAGTACCTATAATTTTGTTCAATCTGGCCATCAAGACGATAAAAAAAATGAAAGGGGAAGAGGTAGGAAGTTTCTACCAATAAGGTAGCAGGTAAGATATGGCGAGCAGAGGAAGTGGGAACAGAAACATGTAGAAGTAAGAGTGGGAGAAATAACAGCCTCTAAGAAATTTAAGGCAAGTATAGGTCGATTACTGAAAGCCAACGGTGATGAAGTGGCTAAATCTGACAAAGAATTGGGAGAGACCCACACTGTGAAAATGCACATCGCTACCGGCGAACAAGCGCTGATCAAACAAATACTGTTTAAGAGAGACATCCATATGAGACCCCGGGCGAGTCTCTCTGGAGTTTCGCCATAACAGTGGAGGATAAGAAGGAGGTGGGGAACAGATTCTATGTCGATTTTAGAAAGCTGAAAAGCTATCTCAAAACGACTGGCACTATCTTTTCCGTTGATAGATGCCATCTTGGTCATTCTGGGAAGAGCTAAATGCTTCTCAACACTATATCTGAGATCGGGTTACTGGCAGGTTGCTCTTAATGAGACAAATCGGAAAAAAGCTGCATTTGCCTGTCACATGGGCCTCCTTCAATTCAGGGTCTTAACTCTTGGCCTTACCAGTGCCACGGGTATTTTTCAGTATTTGATGACCATAGTGATGAACGAAATGGACAGCTTCGCCATGATCTACTTGGACGACATTTTAGTGTTCTCTGAAACACCTGAAAGACACTTCGACCACTTGAGACAGATGTTAGGACGTTAAGTACACACGAATTGAAGTTGAAATTACTAAAATGTCGTTTCCCGAAAGAGGAAACAAAGTATCTGGGATTTGTTATAAATGGGGACGCGATTAAGTCCGACGTGAACAAGGTAGAGGTAATATCGGTGAGGCGGGTAAAGGTACATGAGATTCATCCTGACATTTTCAAAACTAACGACCCTTGATAGCACTGACCAAGAGGTATGCTTGATTCAAATAAATGGAGGATTGTCAGAGAGCATTTGACAGCCTGAAGGAGCAGCTATCTGCGATATCTTTATTAACGTATCCAAGCCTTAGCACGCCGATGGTACTCTACATAGATGCTTGTGATCAGTGTGTCAGTCCTTACCGAGACACACCTGCACAGGGATGGCACACTGCCCGGTATGCCGGAGGAAGTATAAATATACTTCCTAACCCATAGGCTCTTCGAATCGCAACAGAAGTAGTCAGTGATAGAGAAGGGGTAGACGCCTTTATATATGTCTTACAAAAATTAGATAGTTGTATAAGTGGGGCAGTATTTACTATGAAACCTGACTAGAATCAACTCTAATAATTGCTGGAAGCTGAAAGAACAACCCCAAAAATCCAACAGTGGGCACTGAAGTTGTGCGGGTAGAGCTGTAAGATAGAGTACACGGCCGGTAGTGATAATACATTCGCGAATTTGCGGTCAAGAATCCCAAAATAGCTGGAGGCAGAATCCGTAAGGGTAGAACTAGTAGATAATAGGGTCTAGCAGATACAGGTAATCAAATCCAGTAAATTAAAGGACCGTCCTGTATTGATACATAAGAGAACACACAAGTTGTTTCTGATCCTCACTGGAAAGAAGCAATGAGGGGGACGCAGGAGGACTGTGAGATATCTGCCCTCAGAGCCAAAACAGTGGCAGGTAATAACTCTAAGTATGCAATGCATGATAAAATGCTATATTACCTCCCGGGGAATGATGATGAAGATTATATAGAGCTAGGATATAGTACTGGCATCCGTAATATTGGAGCAATGCCAAAAAAAACTGGGTCACTTGGGGATCGATAAATCGTGGATTTGATATGGATAACCTATTATTATTAGCTTGGGCTATCTAACGAGGTCATCAAATTCGTACAGGGCTGTGTGGTGTGCCAGGCAGGGAATGACTTCACATTTGGAGAGGGACGTCCCCAACTTCCCCTTTGAGGAAGGGAGTATGGATGTACAAGGATCGTATGGGGAGACTCCAAGGGGAGACCTATACGTTCTGAGTTCTGTAGATTGGCGACGTTTTGGCCCGAGACATATGCAATACCTGATGATAGTGCCCAAACAGTGTCTGACTTGATACTGACAGAGATATTTCCTCGAGGCCCCAGTGAAACTGCTTAGAGAAAACGGAAGTAAATAAGATAATGACGAGCTAGAATACGGCACATGTGACCACTTCCCCATATCATGCACAGAGTAATGCGAAAGTAGAAAGATTTCATAGGCACTTGGATGACATATTGGCTAAATTGACACGCAGATAAGCATCAATTCACCGGCGGTAGTACTGACCAGCATCGCGTCAGGTCAGCCGTGTTATACTATTTTAAAGCCGTGAAAACGGTATAAAATGAAAAGAAAATTGAAGAACAAGAAAGAAAACAGATTATATATATATATATATATATATATAATAGACTCTAACCTATCAGCTATCATCACCTCTACCAAATATCTAAACAATACAAAGTAATTAGGAAATTACAAATGAAACAAACCTCGTTGCTTAGTTTGCAAACACTTAATAATAGATAATGTATTTTCTGTACCCAACACCAATATCAAAATACACCCACCTCACCTCACCTATGATGCCCATAACATAATCTACTATTTATTCTGCACCTTATGTCATAATAGTGGATATATTGGTGAATCTGGAAATAATTTTAGATTTCGCTTCAACAATCATAAACAAATCATACGTCAAAACAATCCTTATTTCCCCATAGCTGAACACTTTAATCAATCAGGATACTCATTAGAAAACTGTAAACGTTTATTGATAGTTTCTGGTTTCAGTTCCACATACACACGGAGAAAAAAAAAAGAAAAATACTGGATTTTAAAATTGAATACATATAAACTAGGGTTAAAAAAAGACTTGGGTATTTTAAATCTTTATAAATATTTCAATAGTTAAACATTTTTTTAGATATAGTTAAAAAAAAAAAATTTTTTAAACACCATTTAAAATATTACAGTTAAATTTACGTTAAGAATATTCGAACACAGTGGCGTTCCATATCACGTGACGTCCGCATCTCATGACGGACGCTACTTGTAAACAAACCTCTAAAAACAGTTATTTCTGAAGAAAGATTGAGGTCAATCTGAAATCAAATATATATAAATAAATACTTTCATAAAAAAACATTATTATTTTTTAATTAGCAAACACACATATATAGATATATATATATATATATATATATATATATATATATATATATATATATATATATATATATATATGTATCAGATCATTAGTAAATAAAGTATATATATAGATAATATTTAACAGCCCACCACAGGGAGGGATGTAAACCCGAGTTTTCCGTGGGTTCTTCCGAGTTTATTCCGTGGGTTCTAAACGGGTTCAAGGATTTTCTACCTCCCGGACGAAACTTTGCCCTGCGGCAAAGCGTCGTCCGGGTTCCTCTCTGCCGAGGCAGAGAATTTGATAGTTACGAACAGTCTGGTCGACTGATGTATATAAAGTATATATATATACAGATGATACCAAAGCGTATTAGTGGACCTACAAATATATTGGTACCCAGTGCATGCCAGCTGATTGGTCCTCTGATCTGACTCTGACGTAATTATAAGGAAAACAAAAAAAAACTGGGTGATATTATTCAATACATTCAAAACTAAATTTGTAACATTTCAGCACCAACCAGATCCTAAACCAACACAAATGCTGACGAGTGAGCATACCCTCATATGAATGTCCTGCCATTGCTAAACGGAACCCTTTTCAGTTAACTCAAGACTACACACGTTGAGAACAGATTAGCCACAAATATAAATAAATGACAAATGTAACAGAGTCAACATTGTCAACACAGCGTCATCTACGTAAACTGAATAACTCAAAAAGTAAGGATTTGCGGACATATGTTTATATGGACTTTTGTCCTTGTTACGTAATTTTAATTTTTAAGAATATATCTGATTTTCTTAATGTTGGCGTAGATCTGTATTGCATTGCGATTAGAATTTTTTAACTTTAAAAATTATATTTGACATTTAATATAAACGAGAATTTTATATATATATATGAAAAAAATTAAAGATATTTTTTTATTTAAGAGTTGCAAATATTAATTACTTGTTGCTTTTTTATATAGAAAGAAAAAAAAACAAGCCGTAATTTGCTTAAAAAAGTAAACTACAACTTGTATCAAAAATTAATTTAGATCAAAGTATTTAAGTAGATATTTATTTTTATGTCTACATGTCAATTTTCCTGATTAATAAGCTAGAATTATTTCAGTGTTTTAAGATAATCAATTTTTCAACAAAACATAAGTTACATCTATTTCCTTTCCCGTTATTAGATTTGGCTCTTGTTAATATATACCATTTGATAGAAGGTGGGTTGCCATCATTCTTTAATTGTCAGAACAAAATATTCAGGAATATTTGGAGATGCAGTGCTGTTTTTGTATTTCATATTATCTAAATTCGATCGATGATGGTAGAAAAGAAATTTCCAAGGATTTTACCTATTTTCGTCCGCAGATAACCATTATGGATTATTATAGTTTTTTCGGTTTTTTATTTTTTTATATTTATTTCGCGATCGCTAATAAGACAGTAGTTTTTCGCTAGATTTATAGCAGACATTAGCAGATTTTGGGGTATGGGTGGATAAACGTCACAAATATTGAATTGGATAAATGTACATTTATTCTTCATTTTTATATTAATAAACCATTCTACGACTTCTGCTGTTTTATACCACTGGTTAATTCCTAGAGCATTTTTCGTGCATTTGCATTCTCTTTCAAGGGTGATTTTACTGATGTTACCGATATTATTTTTAGTTTAGTAATCGGTATTGAAGTTTGTTTAAGAAATTTGCCTTGTAGTCTTTAAGTGTAATGAATACTTTCTGTTTGTGGAATTTGTGGATCCTATCATCAATTTTTAGTTTAGTGGCTATTTTCTTGGTTTCATTATTAAAGCTATTTTCTCAGTTGTCGTGTGTCTTTTTATAAAACTTATTTACGTCCCTGTCAATAGCTTTATGGTACATATCTTCATCGAATTTGTAATTGTTACCCGTCTTATCTGCTTTGATAATTTAGTCGGATTTTTGGAACATAGAAACCTCCTTTACCATATTTTGCTGTAAGTCGTTGGTTGTTTTAGCGAATTAATTTTGTTTAATACAGAAAATATACTTCTTTTTTTTTTACTTAAATCCTTAAAGCTCGGCATCTTTTAAGTTTTTATGTTCGTTATTGTGTTTAGAGAAGATTTTTTATATTCTTTTTATGACACTCACTATCTTGTATAAAACGTTCAGCTTATAAGATATTTTGTTTGGAATTATGATTTTTTTTTGTGAAGTAGTCCAAGTTAATTAGTTCCATATTCCGAAAAGGGTTAGGATGTAAAGCATAAATAGTTTATTACAGCGATAAGAGTGCTTAACGAAAAGTAGCAAAATATAAATAAATTATGATATATCACACACATATTAGTGAGGGATAATATGTATATTTATTAATATTCTAGACTTCACGTGACCCGTTGGGTCATTGACGGTTCACGTTATAAAAAACTATAGCTGATTTCAACATTAACAAATTGGCTGTTTGAAGAAAGTAGAAATAAAAAATATTTATTGTATAAACAACTAGTATTTTTTTATTCCTTTTAGGTACCTTCACGAATTGGTTATATCTATGGCATAAAAGAATTTTTTAAAAATGAAAACAATATTCTGAAACTTTCAATTTAGCTTTAAATGGAAGCTGAAGGATTAAATATATTATACTCGCTAAGCAAAATATTTTGGTGTATTTCAGAAAGAAATTATACTTACTGGAATAGACATGCATTTTTTCTGTAAAATCGATGATGTCAACCATTTTTTAGACATTTGTAAACAAAATTTAATTTTCCGTTTTAACAATCTTGTAAAAATGAAATATACAGAGTGTTTCAAAAAATTTGATATCATTTCGCAATCTAATAATTTTGTTAGATCTCCTTCAAATGACTTCAAATTTTAATAGCATCTTTATGTTTAATGTTTTTTTTTTATGTTTTTATGTCTTTATGTTTTTGTGTTTTTCTTATTTGTATTTTTATGTTCTTTAATTTTTTTAATCTTTTTCTTTACATGGTATAAAAATACTATTTACTAGAAGAAAAAAAATTTTTGTATTGTTCACATAATCACATGCTTTTGAATTTCTCATTCAGATTTGGAAGAATAAATCTTATGATCTTCAACATTAATACTTTTTTAATTTCATTTGCCTTAATCATGTACTTGCTGTGATATTTACAACTCAAAGGATATCAAATTATTTGAAACACCCTGTATATTTCTGAAACGTTATCTGAGAGAAAATGGCAAATTTAAAGTTAATATGACTTGAAACAAATAGTATTCTCTTACAGCATAAAAAGTTGTTTACAAGCATTTTCTAACCACGGGGTCTTGTTTTTCTAGCGTGTTCTACGGACGGCGTATTGACGTAGTTAAGCAAATTGTAGCAGACGACAAATTTCATTAGGGTTTTGGCGTTTTTGGTGGGGACGTCCCTTAAAATACGTGACCTTATAAGAACAGATTTATCGAATTGTACATCCGTATTTCAAGAATCCTACATCTATATGCATATATAAAAACAAATCGAAATTCTTGAAAAAAATTATTTTTTTTGCTTAATAGCAATATTCCCTGAGAATTGTCTCATTGAAACCGAACTTTAAAAGATTCAAAATCTTTATAAATTGCTCAATTTTATATTGTAAAAAATTTTTAAAAAAAATGAAAACAATCTTGTAAAAATTCATTTTTCATCGACTTTGTTTTTTCTTGAGAAAATATTGTCTTTAACATATATTATTCATAAAAGCAGATAAAAGATTCTCTAATTAAATAATGTATTAGTTTTATTGTCTTTTTTATTTTTCGAAACAGAACAGAGTTAAGACCAGGTCCGATTTTGCAAAATAAAAAACAATCGATGGTTTAAATTCTTCAAAAGATTCAGTATTTAACTAATATAGTCAATAAACTTATCTCGATGAATTTCTCAAGCTATCATAAAATAAAAAAGTAAGGGGGAGAAACACATGTAAAATAAAAAAAATACTTTTACCAAAATTTTCTAATATAAATATTTCAAAACTAATTTCATTCGTTTGTAAATAAGTCCTGAAAATTTTATTAAAATATGACAATTATTTGATTTTTGCAAGAATTACAAAAAGAGGAGTAAAGTTGCTATGCTTAAAGTTAGTAAAACCGCTAACTCAAGGAAAGCATGATATTTAATCAAAAAATTGAATCTTCTAAAAAGGAGTAAAAACAGTAATTAAAAAAATCAGAAAATAATTCATCCTTAATCTTAATAATATAAGGATTTTGACAATCAAACAATGTTTTCATTTCATTTGGAGTACGTTTTCATCACAGTATGCTAATTCTTTAATGATCTCGTGGAGTAAGAACTTAAAATATTTTTTTTAAATCAGATTAACTTAAAAATATTTTGAATGTGCCAAAACAGATTTTTAAATCATATTTACTTGAAAATATTTTTTTAAATATGGCAAAATTATTTTTTAAATATTGACAATGTTGTTCATTTAAAGAAAACTGAAATATAAATAAGCATCACACAATCACAGATTTTGGAAAGTGAAACTTTTCTTATTACCAGACGTACGAGACGTATGACGATTAAACCTGATTTTAGTATTATAAATCTTAATTTTGGTTGTATTAATCATTTAATGAATTTTAACACAGTACGCTATATATATAGATATATATAAATACTTAGGTTGTATTCGACGTATAAATTTTAAAACAGATATATTTTCTATTAACTGTAGCCCGACAACCATTATTTATATATATATATATATATATATATATATATATATATATATATATATATATATATATTGAAAATATAGTCTTAAGGTATGCTATATTTATGGAATAAAGTGCTCAATATCAGAGATTAACATGTAAAATATATTGACACAAATAAATAAACAAACGACTTCCGGTAAAACAACCGCCATAATAGAATACCCATAATAAACCACTAACCTATATATATAAAATAAATCCGAAAAAAATAACAGCATATGTGGCCTGATGAAAATATAGCATGAAACAGACTATATTTCTAATGTTGTTGACTTCTATGTTTTTAATATATATATATATATATTATATATATATATATATATATATATATATATATATATATATAAAATTAAAAAAAAAGAACAGTAACATATTTAATCCGGTGTTCTTATTGATATTTTTATTTTTTACAAAATAATGCTCAATGTAAATTTACAGAGCATTAATATTATAAATTAACTGATTTAAAATTTTTTTTTTTTTTTTTGCTACACAGTAATAATCATGTTTCAAAAATTTTGTAATTAAATTAAAAACATTAGTTCCATTTCATCCTCAAGCGAATTTTGGAGTAACTTATTTTTTAAAGATTTTTTTCATTGGACAATAGTTTACTAATTCTGGTGCAAACGGTAGTGGGTATTTGTCTTAGGATTGCATTGAGGTGGTTAGAACCGATATTAATAGAGTTGGGGGTTTTCTTCTCCTTATAGTAAGGTTTAAAAGCTTTATCATTAAGGTTAAGGTAAAGCATATCACGTCAGCAACTTGAGCTGTGAAACGCTCCCATGGGAACATCGAATTCGTTATTGTGGTACATAGTTCAGGAAGCGTTATATAGCGTTATATATGAAAATGAACACATGGAGTAGAAATCCACAGTTCCGAGCATTCATTTTTTTAAAGTGCATAATACGAAAAATAGAGCAAAATATTATTATAATATTTTTATTATAATAAATTACAATAACATCATTTTACACCGTTGCCCAAATACTTTCATGTTTCGATATTTAGATGGTACTTCTTCAGGCGATAGTAATGATTACGTTTTCTAAAATTGGTGTGATTATCAAGTAACTGTTCGATTTTTGAGTTGTAGTCAGACTTGTTTAAAACAACAAAGATGTCTGCTTTATCATCTTTTTTCATTACTATTTCTGGGTGGTTGCGCAATTCTTTTGTAACAATTTTTAGTGATTTATTTAGGAGTTTAGATGAATTTTAATTTTTATCATGTCTGTCTTTTATAGATTCTGCTTTATCGAAAACACAACTATACTCCATCATGAAAACAACAAAATTAGATTACAATATTCTAGAAGCAATTTATATTAAAAAATTAAAGCCGACATTGAACAGAATCAACTATGAATACTACAGTAATGTTCTGAAATGCCTGTAAAGGAACGGTTTTTTGACGCTTTAATGCACGCGTGACCATGACATTATAACACAGAGAGAAGAAATTCCTTAATGGATAATTTTTTTCACGAAAATTAATATTATTTTTTTTAATGAATGCTCATCACACTGTCAACCGTTTTGCATTAAAAAACCATAATGAAAAAATTACTGTAAGGCACAAATTTCTATAAATACTTATATTAATGAAAATATTTGTATTACTTGCACCACTGAAGATGATCTTAGAAAATAAAATATACTTAAAAGAAAATCGAAATTTAAACAGCTATAATTTAACATTTAAATGTTAAAATAAACTAAATTTAAAAAATGCAGACATACTGTCTGTAATTTATTCAATCATACATATATATATATATATTATATATATATATATATATATATATATATACATATATATATATATATATATAAAAATGTATAGAAATACCCTTAGGAAAGGTGTAATTCTCTTCTTCTCCCCTCCATATATGGGCAAAGGCAGGGGCAGACTGGGTTCATATTGTTGAATGCCAACTTCTGGGAAGGACAACTCTGACTCAATTCATAAAAACTTCAGACTTTTGTAACGTAGTGCTAAAAGCCTCTATAATCACACTTCACGATGTTCCTAAACCTTCACTTATAATTTCTCATATATGGGCAACTTATTTGGGATCTATCTTACCGTCAGGTTGGACTATATATATATATATATATATATATATATATATATATTATATATATATTATTTTAATCGTAAATTTAATTTTAATTTACGTTGATTATACATATTCAACAAGAATTTTTAGACTAAACTCGTTCCAACCAGCACCTTTTTGTCTTTTTTCTCATTTTTATTATTTCTGCATTAAGTTAAAAATAATTTATGCGCTTTTCATTGGTGGACCCTAATTTGAAGCGTTGTGTGTGTGTGTCTGCTAGTGTGTGTACTCAAAAAAAAAAAAAAATGTGTGCGTTTGTTTTTGAAATTCTTTTTTTCTTCTCTCTTCTACTCTCTCATTATTCCGTTTCTTACTTTTTTCTATCTTTCAGCTTTGAGTGTCGAAATTAATGTAACAATATTTTTCTGTCGTCAGGGACAGCAATTATTTTATTATGTTGAATATTCTGGAGTTTTCTAAAGCTTTTGAAAATATGGGTTCCGTTCGTTTTTTAGATGTATTTCTTCTTTCTTTTCTGCTTAATAACCAAGTAAAAATAGTATATATATATATATATATATATATATATATATATATATATATATATATATAGCCTTGAATGATAATTCAAGTTTTGAATGGTTTTTTTCAATAGAGTATGCCCATAATTAGCCTTCTAGCATAAAACTCTGTTCAATGCCAAAAAACAAAACATTTTGGATTAGTTCAACAACCAGGTAAACAATGAGTTTTAAGTTTCATGTACTACAATCTTCAGTAGCCATGGAACCCAAATAATGCTAGTCATTATTATATATATATATATATATATATATATATATATATATATATATATATATATATATATATATATATATGTGTTTTAATACAGAAACTATAATTTGTGTGTGTGTGTGGATAATATAATTTTTTTTGAATATATAGGTATCTTTCGTTTCTTTATATATTTCTTGTTTAAATAATTATTTCTAATTTTTAAATCATATTAATACATATTATCTATCTATTATCTATCTATACATATATATATAATATATATATATATATATATATATATATATATATATATATATATATCTGTAATATTTGTTTGTACGTGTTTGTCTATGTATTTGTGTGCGTGTGTGTGTACAAAGATAGAGTATGGGTATATATGTGTATGTGTGTCTGTGGGTAATGCCAGACATTATTAGAAATCAAACTAGGCTTGGAGGACTGAGAAGGCGTTTGTGTTTGCTGAAAATCAGGAAAATCGATCATTTTCACTTTTTTTTTAAAAAATACCAATTCAAAAAAAAAAAAAGAAAAAAAAGAATAGAAAAGAAAGAAAACGATTTCTTTCTATGCTGCCCTTTTTAAATAAACAAAAAAAAAAATAAAACGTTTGTCGTCAAGGGACTTTCAATTATTTTTTCTTTTTGTTATAATATTTTGGACTTTTCAAAACAACTTTTTAAAATTTTGTTCTTTTTCGTTCTGCATTTTTTTGTTATTTTTCTTCTTTCGTTTCTGACGGTCGTATTGTTCACATTGTCAATGTATCCATGAGACACAAATTAATATTTTTTTCTTGAGATCTCTATCCCGTCAAGCAAGCCTTCCCGTCACAAGCAAAAGAAAATATCTTCATTGGATTCGATTGTTTTATTCATTTTGCTCTTTGGTTATCCTTTCCTCAACGCAAATTTTAAATTACATTCGATTATTATTATTATTATTATTATTAATATTTATTTATATTATGTTTCCTGATATTTTATCCTTTAGAGCCCTATCCAAACTATGGTCCCATAAATATAAAGGATTATCATTTAATTCAAAAACCTTTTCTTAGTATGGGGTGTTCCAAGTTTATCTTTTCTTGCATGTTGATGTCACCTAGGAATCTGTTAGTAAAATTGTCCATTCTTTTTTTTGCAGGCTTAAATACTCAGATTATTATTGATACTCCTTTATCCCCATGTATATATTTACAATTTCTATATAGTTCCATAGGTATTTCTCTCAGATGGTATATATCAATTTCTTGTCTTTATAATAATATCTGCATTGTTTGTTTTTTTCTGTCAGTTTGAATTGGCATGTCCCAGAGGATAGTTACATGGTTATTTTGGTTAACTGTGTCTGGTTGATGGTCTTAATGGTTTCGATTTTGTGCTTCTTGTATATCTTTTTGAACATATAGGTACCTTTCGTTTCTTTATATTCATTTTTTGCTAGTTCCGGACATGCTGAGATAATATGGTCAAGAGTTTAATCTTCTTCTTCTTCTTCTTCTTTGCTATCATTATTATTATTATCATTATTATTATTATCATCATCATCATTCTATGATATATATCCTTATATATATTATTTATATATTATTATTATTATTTTATCGTCATTATTATCATTATTATTATTACTATTATCATCATTATCATCATCATTTTCTATGTTATTATCATTATCATTATTATTATTATCATTATTATCATTACGGTTATTATTATTATTATTAGTAGTATTAGTAGTAGTAGTAGTAGTAGTCGTAGCAGTAGTTTTTATGTTACAGCTTTTATTTTCTCTTATTTTCTCGTTTGTAGGCGTTCGACACTTATTTTGAAAATTTCAGGAGTTTCTTTCTTTCGTTCTTTCTTTTTTTTTCTTTCTTTCTTTCTTTCTTTTCTCTCTTCCTTTTTCTTTTCTTTCTTTGATGCCTTTAAAAGAAAGAAAACGATTTCTTTTTTCTCTTTTTAGTATCGAAATTTAAAAAAAAAAAAAAGAATTTTAAAATCATTGCAATGTACATATTTGCTTTTTTTTCTTTCGTTATTTAAACTTTTCAAATTTTTTCATTTTACAATTTTTTTAATCTTTTTTTTTTTTTTTTTTTTAATTACTTCTATTCATTCTTTATCCAATTATTGCATTTATTCTATCTCAACTTCTCTTATAAACGCTTCTTTCTCGTTTTGTTCACATTTTACCGAATTATCCATTTTTTTACAATTTAATCCATTTTTTTCTTGTTCTTTTTTCTATCCCGTCATTCATATCTTCCGTCACAAGCAAAATAAAATATCTTCATTTTTTTCGATTGACATTTTCAATTCTATTTATCTTTCTATCTATCCTGATTTCCTCATCTTTTTTTATATTTTTGTTTTCGATTATTATTTTATCTTTCTTTTTTTTATCTATCTATTATCATTTTATTTATTTATATTATGTTTCCTGTTCATTTTATCTTTCTCAGTCATTTTCTATCATCTATCTAAATGTATATCTATATAAGCTCATTATCATTTAATTGACTTCATCCTTTTCAGTATTTATCTTATGGGGTTTAGAATCTAATCTTCGATCTGTCTAGCTAACTTTTCAGTCTTTTTGAAAAATTCACTTATATTCATATATATGTTAGTAAATTTTCCATTCTTCTTTTTCTGTCGAGTTTTAGCTCAGATTTTAATCATTCTACTTCATCCCTATGTTCAAATATTTCTTTCTCAATTTTTCGATAAGTTTCATCTAGTCTTTCTCAGATGGTCTTTAATATCATTCATGTTTCATCTGAAATTTCTCTTTTTATAATTTTCTATATCTATCTATTGTTTGTTTTTTAAGGATAAAAATCTTTTATATTTTTTCTCCCAGTTCATATTTATTTTGGTTATTTTTTATCTAACTCTCTATGTCTATTTTGATGGCTTATTAATATTTCATTTCTTCATCCTGTTCATATTTCTTTCTCAGTCATGTTTCTATCTATATCTATCTTCCTTATTCAGTCTTTTTATATTCATTCTACTTTTGTTCATATATAGATTTTATGGTCATTTTTAATCTTCTTCTTCTTCTTCTTCTTTGCTATTTTATTTTTTATCATTAACTTTTTATATATCATCTTCATCATTACTTTGATCATTATCCTTATCCTTATTATCTTTTTATTATTATTATCCTGTTTATTATTTTATCGTCATTTTTATATTATTATCTATTACTTTTAGCTCATTTTATATCATTCTTTCCTGTTTTTATTATCATTCTCATTTTTTATTATCTATATATCTGTCTATTTCAAAATTATTCTTTTTATTTAAAAATATTTCTTTAGTTTTTCTATCTATCTATTGAAAAGGTAATATTTACCATTTTTTAATGTCACTTTTATCTTTCTCAATTTTTTTCTATCTATCTATCTTTATTAAATTTATTTAGTTTCTTTTTATATCAATTCTATTTTCTTTCATATATTCTTTCTTTCATTTCTTTCTTTCTTTCTTTTTTTCTCTCTTTTTTTTCTTATTTTCTTTCAAACCTGTTCATTTAAAACATTTCAAAATTTTTTCTTTGATATCTCTTTTTAGTATTGATTTCAATCTTTTTCTTTCATGTTCATATATTTATCAGTTTTTTAGCATCTATCTATATGTTGTATAGCTCTGTGTTTGATCTCATTTTTTTAAATATTTCTCTTAAAGTTTTTTTCAGTAATTTTTTTTTTTATCTAAATTCTTTCAATTTTATTTATTTATCTTTCTAAATTTTTTTTATATATTTTTTTCATTTTCTATCTATCGACAATCTATCTTGTTTTCATTCTTTTTCCAATCAAAATAACATTTATTCATATATATCTTTATATTAAAATTTTGTATCTATCTCTATCTGTTAAATAATTCTTTCTTTTTAATTTTCTTCATCTTTATATATATCTTTCTTCATTTTTATCTATTTCTATCTTTCTTTAAAAGAAAAGTCTTTCTGATTATATCATTCTACTTCATCCATTTAATTCTTTATTTCATATTTTTACGCAAGATCTATCTATCTGAAGAAAAATTCAAGAAATATATACAAATCTGAAAGAGAGCCAAATAACTGTAATTTACTATCATTCTTTATAATTTTAATCATTGACATTTATCCTAATAAAATATCTCATCATTTTCTTTATCTATCTATGCTAGTTATCTTTTAATCATTCTATTCACCTGTTATCTATCTTTTTATATTATATCTATCTGTCTAGCTAGCTAGCTCAGTCTTTTTATATCATTCTACTTCATCCTGTTCATATATATCTTTCTCAGTCATTTTCTATCTATCTATCTATCTATCTATCAGTTAAAATCTATTCTGTATCATCCTAGTCCTTATTATATCTATCTAAAATCATTTTCTATCTATCTATCTATCTGTCTAGCTAGCTAGCTCAGTCTTTTTATATCATTCTACTTCATCCTGTTCATATATATCTTTCTCAGTCATTTTCTATCTATCTATCTATCTATCTATCTATCTATCTATCTATCTATCTATGATATTATGAACAGTCTTTAAAATTTCCCACCACTGCTTTCAATGTTTTTTCTTTCTTATTTTATTCTCATCTTTCGGAATATATTGAATATATTACATTCCTCCATATTGTTATCGTTTTTCTTTAAAATTTCCCACCATTTCTTTCAATTCCTTCCTTCCTTCCTTCCTTCATTCATTCCTTCCTTCCTTTCTTCCTTCTCTATTTATTATCTTATCCATATATCACTATCTCTCGGAATATCTATTTTTTCCGTGTCATTATCGCCTTACTTTAAAATTTGACACTATTTTCCAATTCTTCCTTTATGTGTTTATCTGTTTCCTAATTCTTTTCCCTTGCATCATTTGTTTTATTCTTTGCTCCCGAAATATTAATTTTCCTTCTTTCTGTTCAATCTTCACCGCTAAGTCCTGTTCCGCTTTCTTCCCCAGTGATCACCTATCTCTTATTTTAATTAAGTATTTTTGCACATTCTCCAAATCTACCTCATATCCATCCCAGCAAACCCGACATGCCCGATCTACTTTTCACCCGCTCATAAGGATAGCATTCTCACACAGAATCATTGCCTGCTCTGTCTGCCGAAGCGTGTCGAACAGCCAGTGGTCTGCACGAAACGGGGCCTGTCAGTTTAAATTGTCTAACAAATAACACGCATCTCTCCGTGGTAGAGACAAATGTCATCTCCATGGTTACAGGCCTCTGTAATTAATTGCTTCTCATCATAAATCCTAAATTCTAAGAATCGAAATAAAGAAAATGTAATGCCAAACTTTTTCTCTCCGAATTGGAATGTGTAAGGTTAAACGTTGAGATATTAAACTTATTTAATAGAGACGTTGATACAATGATCAATTTATTTTTATCTTTTTTTTTTCTTTTCACGATCACGTTATTGATGACACAATTAACATAGGGGTAATATGATTTTCAACCCCAGAAACATCATTAGGCATGTCTACGGCAAGATATACATATTTATAATACTGTCCCAAATTCAAGTTGGTTTTAAATTCAGAATTTTCCGTCTTCGAAGCGGATTGCAATATCAAACATAAAGATCCCTGTCCAGTGGTTTTGGATTCTCAGTTTTCCTTCTCCGGGATTGGTTTGTCTAACAAAGCTAAATGGTCGTTTGGTTTATTATTTATACAGGTTTGCAACTCGGTGGTTCAAATACTCAATTTTTATTCCTACATCATATCCGTGTAGCTTCCCCTTTACACTCGACATTTTTTTTGTTTCATTTAAATTAAAAAAGGTAAATGTTTACGGAGGTTTGAATTCGGCGTTGTCCTTCTCCTAAACAAGTTGCCCACAGAGCGTGAGCCAAAAAATTGTCATGATATTTATTTTTAGACAAATACATAATTAATTTTTCAAGTTTCGTTGGTTTTAAAAAATGAAGGAAAAAAATTTTTTTTAAACAATTTGAAGCATTTTTTGCTGTTTATACTTTACATAAAAATTTTTCCCCGGAATCGATGATTCAAATATACAAATCAACCATTCGCCCTTGCATGGAGTATTGCTGCCATATATGGTCTGGTGCACCTTCTGTTTACCTCGGAGTTCTTGACAAGATCCAGAGGCGGATATGTAATATAATTGGCCCTGATCTGGCATCTCGTCTACAGTCACTCTCTCACAGACGCGCCGTCGCCTCTCTCTGTCTTTTCAACAAATACTTTCATGGTAATTGCTCCGATGAGCTGCTTTCACTGGTTCCCAGACTTCATGAATTCAAGCGCCCGGCGAGGCTGGCATCCCGCTTTCACCCTTACACTGTAGAAACTCTTAAATGTAGCCGTCTCTTCTACTCCAATAGCTTCATATCTCACACCTCTCGCCTGTGAAACACCCTTCCCTATTACTGTTTCTCTGAGAGATATAATCTCCAACTATTCAAATGTAATGTCAATCGACATCTCCAGTTACCTTGATCTATCCACTATCCCTCTCCTCATCCTTTCTTCTATCACTCCTATCTTCTCTCGATCCAAATCTTCTGCAACTCTTTGCATTCACACCTTGCTAGGGGCGTAATGCTTAAAAAAAGAAAGAAAAAAAAACATGATGATAAGCGTTCCTCTAAGCGACAATCGTAAATTTCAGTTATGGCTAATAACCTTGATTCTAAAAGTAAACTGACATTCTTTCCTTCTGTTTTTATTTTTTTACATATCATCACTAAACTGAAATTATCACAGATTTTCCAATAAAGCTTTGTAATAGCAAAAGATGCCTTCCAAAACTAAGCAAAGTATAAAGTAAAAAAAATATAATTAGCAGCAGAGTAAAAATTGCTGAACTGTTACGTAATGTCAATCCTTTTGTACCACAGTGAATTGTTACATAGGAATAAAATGTCGCTGCCGACACTTGAGTTTGAAGATAGATGCCATTATTGAATTAAGTAGACTCCGTGACCATAGAGGAAACACATATATGGAAGGCAGCTTGCGTCTAATCGATCGTCATTTCTATTCTATCCTCTATTACTATACGGACCGCTATTCTCTACTCTATTCACTATACTATTTCTCTATTCGGATCACTATACGGATTACCATCCGAGCGAGTATTATCGAGCAAGTACTGTTAGTAAGAGTGATATTCGAAGCAAGTCTTACTCCAGTATTGTTCAACGGCGTACTATAGTTGTATCTGCGATTACAAAGTCTCTATTACAACGAGCCTTATAAAAGTGACAACGAGTATTTGTTGGCATCACAAAGGTGTCAAACGAGTGTTCGTTGACATCACAAAATTAATGCTGGTCAATTTGCTCAAAGATGAAAAGAAAATGTGAGGCAACAGAAACATGGATCTGCAGAAAGATGCTGAGAATGCGATGGGCGGGGTGAGCAAACAACGAAGAAATCTTAAGGAAATCAAAACGAAAAGGACACTTACCCTCAGAATTAGAAAGATATAGCTGTAATTTTTTAAAAACGTAATAAGGAAGAATGGCTTAGAAAAGTTGAGGCTTACAGGTAATAGTAAACCAAAATGGCAGATGAAGGCAGCAGGCCAATCGACGAGCTTGTGGGAATTGATGGCGAAACGATAGTGGAGAGTCATGAGCGACTACAACCCGATGAAACACAAAACATCGAAATAGAACATGGTCTTCTTCAGGAAACTGCCACTTAATTCGAACACATTTCAATTGGTCCAATTTATACACAATAAATCTATATATATTTAAGCATATACATTTTATTGCGCGTTGCTACCTCGTGTGTGTGTCTTTATGTGGCTAGTCTTTTGCTTAAATAATGCCGATCTCACTCTTATTTAGAAAATAGTAGCCGTTTCTTGGCAATATTATCAACTTTTCTTTGGTTTTGCATCTAACGTTGCTTCCCTTGTAGGCCTTTTCAAATATTTTACATTTTATTTCCAGGTTCTCTTATTCATTTTCTACTTCATGAATATTTCAGAGGTACGGAGGTGTTATTATAATTTATAGATTTAAGATCATATTCTGGCTATAAAACAGTTTTTTTTTTCATAGTTAGAAACAAATGTGAAATCAACCCGACATTAACCTAGTGAACCATATAACAAAACTTATCGGACTTCTAATGAATACAACACCCAGTAGATTTAAGCCAGACATAGGACCAGAAGAGTGTGGGTTCGTTAAAGACACCGGAAAAAAGGAATACGATATTTATGTTCAGAATGAGATCAGTAAAACCAATACAAATGCAAAATGCTCTATATTTTATAGATTATGCAAAACCATTTGATAATGTACGTCATTGTTTGAACTACAAGGTAACCTTGACATATTTGGCAGGGATATTAGAATAATCCAAAACCTAAGTGAGCTGCAAACCGACCGCCTACGGATAGAAAATAAATTCGTAAAAAATAAAAAGGGGTATAGTTCAATGATGTGTCTTCTCGCTAAATTAATTCAGCTCATACACTGAGGAGCTCCTGATAGAATTATAAGTCCTACCTGGATTAATTATTGGGTGCTAGAATCTTAACTACATAACATATGCACATGGCACATTGTTGATAGGAAACACGGAAAGAAAACTACACTGACTCCTATAGAATGAAAAGAAAGGACAAAACATCAATTCTAAGAAGACAGACTATATGGTTGTAAGAAAAAGGAACAGCTCAACATGCAAATTATAGACTGGACATAAGAAAATCAAGCAAGTACAACAGTTTAAATATCTGGGAAGTGTTTCAAAAGAGAAGGGAAAAGTACGATATAGAAATGTGAAAACGAATTGGGATAGCGAAAGATGATTTCCAGAAACAGGAAAATTTCGTTAGTGACAAAATAAAAAGAGCTGTTATGTAATATGGCAATAAATGATGGACCCCACAGATGAAGAAGAAACTTGAAAGGTGCTCAGAATGCCATGGAATGCATTTGGGAGCAACGACGAAGTTTTAGAGAAACAAAAATGACACTTATGTTTAATAACAGAAAGAAAATAGCTGAAATATTTAAGGTAAGTCATGAGGAAAGAGGATTTGGAATATTTGATATTCACGGGATAGATTGAAAGCAAGATGGGCAGAAGAAAACAACGCATAAGGAGCGTAACGATCTTGTTGAAGAACAGTTTAGGAAAGATAACACAATATATGTACAGTTTAGGAAAAGACAATATATACAAAATAATACAATATATGTAAAAAGGAAAGACAATATATATAAATAACAGTTTTTTTTTAATAATTAAAATGACACAATACAGAAGTAAAAATAACACATTTCGTAAATCCTTTTTTATTTTTTAACAATTTTAATTCCTGTTCGATTCTGGATTCGTTTAATCTTCATTATTATGACGTATTCTTAGTTAACGAATTCATTTTCAAATTTATTATAATTTAATTAATTTGGGATAATTTTAGGATCAAAATTCCTGTTCGATTCTGGGGAACTTCGTTCTATGATTTTTTTGCAATTTTCATTGATGACATAATTATTTTAGCAAAAAATATAACACATATTTAGCAATTTATAAAAACAGCCCGAAGAAAAAGAGGTTGCATCCGTCATGCCCAAGACACACCACGGCTGTTATAATTGCAATATATGGGATATAAGAATCGATATGACGAGGACACAAAAGCCAAAACATGTTATGATTTGATTGTTTTTTATGGCTTATCAACCTTTTCTAGGTTATTTAAAGCTGAAACATAATTTTTCTAAGGCAAGAATGTTTTTGCAAGTGAATACTGTATTAAAATATCTACAGATAATAATAATTTTCACATACAAGTTCTTCTATTTAACCCATATCTGGGGATATGAATAGGTGGATTCATACCTGTTGGTATTTTCGTGTGAGTGAATGCGAAAACGACTCTCGCATTTCCAAATATGTGCCGTTATCACCAACACATCCACGCTTACAGCACCTGATATTCCGAAGTGGTAACCCTTCTAAGTAATGACCAGGCTCGACGTTGTTTAACTTCGGTGTACGAGCGGGAACTAATGTTTCAACGTGATATGTCCGTAAGCATTATGCTTAAACTCCATCTTCTCTTTGGGCGGCGGGGAGATATATTCGATATCCTTTATGATTTTAGCCCAGGGAACTATAAAATTGTTCGGTTTATGCAATGAGCCGTATTTAATTGCAGAACTTAATTCATGTTATGCTATGTGTGAATCAACAGTTTTTGACACTATTACCGTATATTTATACTTGTCAAAATTATGGATTTTCTGGGGCTTTATATATTTTTTTCGTCAATTCCACTTGACTTAAAACAATGACCGTGTTTCTCCGACCTTAAATCTTGATATTAATTTACACTTGTAGGCACATCCATTCATATCTGGAAATTGAGATTAAAATAGAAACGAAAAGAAAAAAAAGACAGCTAAGTCTGGGCAGAAAAATAATTAAAGATGATCCATTGATATATTTTTTATTTTCGCTCCAAAATCGTTATTTCCACTACACTGCCATCTGGTTAGTCAGCACGTTGAAGGAGTATGACGAATGTCATCAGAGAAACAAAAATCTTTTTTTTTATCATTTTTTTTCGAAGAGGCGTAACTTTTGCAACATGTTATCAAGATAGCAGTGGTGTATTTTCCCTTTCTTCTTGACATCCGTTGGGGCAGGGTCTTACTTTAAGGTTGAGAAAAAGAAATTCGGAGGCCGGCTGATATAACAACTAGTCTTCCCATCGATATATCAATATTAACTCTGAAAACGGAATCAATGGCCGTGATGAGCAAAATGAAAGAGAGTAAAAGATATTAATAAGCACACTCAATCATATTTTGTGTTCGAATTGACGCATAATCTCTCGTGTGTATATCTGCATGGCTAAAGGTTGGTATCCTTATATCTTGATCACTAAATTTTCAGATACCGTGGATTTGTATAATGTTAGTCGTCACTTTGCGCGAGTGATTCATACATTTCGTTATGGGTATTGGGAACAAAACTCATCTTTCACTTTTTAAGTGAGGTTTGGTTGCGGTGGAGAACGATCTCAGATCATAAAACTAACACAAGTAATTTTTAAGTATAGCCTTTCATTAGTGTATATCAATGCACAGGAAGGGATGATGTGTGTCTCATGAAGTCTTGCAAGAGACGATGTTATTAGGTATTGATCCAAATCTACCGAAATTATGTCAATCCAAACAAAGGATGTAAGAGACATGGTTCGAGTCTGGCATCTTCAAACTAAAAAAAAAGCGAAAGATTAGCGGACATTTGTCATTATTTTGATGTGAGGAACCCGGTCCCATTGTTTGTAAAAGTATTTTTGATACACCCTATATATATATATATATATATATATATATATATATATATAATAATAATAATAATAATATAATAATAATAATAATGGACCCTCCCGTCGGTTTCGACGTATGAGGATCTGCCAGCTTATTGATTCAGATATGAAAGTTTATGCGCTAATCTTAAGTGGCATTTAAGACCCGCTAGTGATTTACAAAGGAGGCCACATATCGAGCAAGTGTGAGGATTGTGAGATGAGATCACTGTTAGATTTGTTGACCTTTTAGATCTTGCTGTCGCTTCTTGAAGATGATTCAGACAAGCAGATTGAAAATTGCTGAGTCCACTAAAACACGTTATATATATATATATATATATATATATATATATATATATATATATGTGTGTGTGTGTGTGTGTGTGTGTGTGTGTGTGTGTGTGTGTGTGTGTGTGTGTGTTTAAAGGCACAAAAAGTACTTTTACGAACAAGGACAAAAATCATATAACATATGTCCGTTAATATTGCTTTTTAAAGTTTACGGTAGACATTTTAAAAAATATTCTTCCATTGATCCATAGTTTTAGATGCCACGAATCCTGTCTCAGCAATACAAGAATGAATAGCAACAAATGCTGGATGGCTATATGCATCAATTTGGAAACGATAACTGATACAGCCGTACAGCCTATAGGTCAATTACCATACAATATATACATATGGCCTGAAGATTGCGTTTAGCATGACACAGACAATCAGCTCTGGGTACTTGGCAATGTACAATGTATATATATATATATATATATATATATATATATATATATATATATATATATATATGTGTGTGTGTGTGTGTGTGTGTATGTGTGTGTGTGTGTGTGTATGCGTAATAAAAAAGAAAAGAACAGTAAGATATTTAATCCGGTGTTCTTATTGATATTTTTATTTTTTACAAAATAATGCTCAATGTAAATTTACAGAGCATTAATATTATAAATTAACTGATTTAAAATATGTTTTTTTTTCGCTACACAGTAATAATCATGTTTCAAAAATGGAAGCTAAAAACTTTAAATTCAATTTTTTAATTAAATTAAAAACATTAGTTCCATTTCATTCTCAAGCGAATTTTGGAGTAACTTATTTTTTAAATTTACTGAAACGCTCCCATGGGAACATCGAATTCGTTATTGTGGCACTTAGTTCAGGTAGCGTTATTTAGTGTTAGCGGTGAGTTTCTCTTCGCTAACATTATATTAGTTTCATCATCCGTTATTTCTATATAAGTTCTTTGCAAAGTTGATACTATTGACCAGGAGGTTCTTAGTGACAGAGAAATAAGTCAATTATATCAAACTTAATGAACGTCGCTTTATCGTTATTCATCATGTTAGTGAACCATTTAATAGTATCTGACGAATCCTTCCAAAGATTAGTATTGGTTGGGATTAATAGATTATCGGTTATAGTTTTAATTATATTTTTGGAGATTAAGCCTAGTTCCGTTTTTGCTGGGTTTATTAGTCTAGATTGTGTACTGCTAGTGAAGTTTTGTTTATGGTCTTTAAATAAAATGTAGGCATCCTTAGTGTGGATCTTTCCCACGCTATCTGCTATATTTAATTTATTGGATATTTTGTCCATGAAGATTTTGTGTTAGTAGTGTGAGGGATTACATTTAGAAATATTTTTTTTTTATTTATCGGCTCTTAGCCAAATCTCGTTGGAGTTTCTAATCGCTTTTATATCCTTGTGTAGTTCTTTTCGGAAATGATCGGATCGCTTGTTGAACTCCATTTTTTTTTTTTAAATTTGGAAATGATTTAGGAATTTGACTATTGGTTGATATTTCTTTTGGGTCTTTAGGTTGAAGGTTTTCTGCTTGTAATTTGTTGTCTCCGGGGAGTTAACTTAGAAAAATGCTTTCCATCGTAGTCTCTTTACAAACTCCACAATTTTTTTTCGTCAGGGATATGTTGAATGAATAGAGTGAAGATATGGTATGTTTTTTTACTCCGGACAGAATTTATCCATGATGGCCGCTTGTAGAGGTCCTTGTAATTCCAGGTGGATTAATCCCTAGAGAGCTCGACTATTTACAACAGAAGCAGAATAGTGCAGGTAATAGACCCGTTCGTATATAATAATTAGAAATGTAATAAAAATTAAACATATGAAAGTGAATTTATATATTTCTTTTTTTTTCTCTTGAGAATTGACAACAAAAATAATAAACACTATTTATTTATTTATTAGATTGTTTAATTACACTATTTATTTAATATATTATAAAAACATTGGCTAATTGTCAATCTATTACAAACTTTAAATACGTTAAATAAAGATTTCGTTACATTTAGTTCATATATTTTAATAATTTGGTCAATGTTTATATGTCTCTATCTATAAAAGGGAGGATGTGTGTGTGTGTGTGTGTGTGTGTGTGTGTGTGCGTGTGTGTGTAAAAGAATGCATGGCCTCAATTTTCGACTTATTTTACCAAAATTTCATGCACCTGCTCCAAGTTAGCGGAGAAGGCCAAGGTCGACTTTTGCATTTCTCAACTTCCATCGATAGTGGAAATAATCGATATTTGCATGCTTCTACGGTAGTTTTCATGTATATTTGCGGCCATTTTCTACTGGCCAATATGAGAGCCTATAGCTGGCTTTAACGAAAGGCAGGAAGATTCTATTGGCCAGCGTGTTGTATATTAGATTTATGACACGAATGTTAACTAGCATGCTAGCATGCAAAAAAAAAAAATCGATAGCTGCATTCGTCACAAGTGGAAAAAATTTAAAGTTCATGGCACTTTACTCCATTTGGCTCAAATAAAAATTAAACTCAACGTTTATTCTGATTCTGCAGAACTGGGTTGGGTGTGAAAAAAGTATTTTTTTGTTAACATTTTTTTTCATTTGGTTTTTCCAGTTACGAGTCCTTTTTTAAAGCTGATCGTTTTGTGTTCATTTTGTTTAGTTCTTTTTTCGTAACAGATTTAATGTTTAGTATAGAGTTTAGAAAAAATTCGCAGTTAGAGATAGGCAAGAAGTAAGTCATGTAGCAACATCAGCACGGCAAAGGGCACTCCTTTAAAGGCAAGGAAGGGTAAAAATATTTTATGTCAAGTGATAGCGATTGCTGTATGAGTCGTACGATTTTTGAATCAAGCATCGGCAACGCCGGGTCTTGCTGCTAGTTCATGAATAAAAAAAATGTGTTCATATATATTTCTTTATAAATTGGGAAATGATAAATATTGCATTGTATTAGTTTTAGTTCAATTGTATTAGTTTTTAAAATGTTGTAAATAATAAAAAAAATATTATTGTAAATAAAAATTGCCACGGTAGTTAAAATAATAACAGTTTCAAGGGAAAAGCTGCGCTTTTGACATCCCGTTTTTTGCGGACAAGAAGGTTAAAAGTTGAAGAAATGTCTCTCCATTGGAAAATCTATTAAAGGAATGAAGATTTAATGAATATTTCTCGTCAACCTACATTTTAATCTTGTGTTCCTTAATGGTAATTGATGTTTAAAAAGAGTGACACAAATGCATGGAAAAAATAATTGGCGTTCAAATATGTTGACTATTAATTTAAAAAAAAAGAAAAGAAAAATATTTACTACAAAAAGAAAACCCCGCCTGGTTAGATATAGAAATAGATTTGAGTACGTAGACAAAATATAGAAAGGAGCGTAAGACGGAGGATCAGGTCTTATCACGGGATATATTTGATCTTTAAAGCGT